GGGGGGGGCACAGGAAGGGCTGTACAACACAGAGAAGATGTAGTGATTCTACAGCATCTTACTACACTGATGGACAGTGACTGTAATGGGGTATGTGGGGGGAACTTGGTGATGGGGGGAGTCTAGTAAACATAATGGTCCTCATGTAATTGTAGATTAATGATACCAAAATTTTAAAAAAGAGGTTATCAACAGATCTTTTTCTACTGAAAATAAATCGCACAACTTTATACCACTTTGTCATTATTTCCTATATCTGCATTTCATTCTTTAAACATTCAGAACTCATTCTGTTCTTTCAGGGCCAACCCATGTTTCTGAGGACACATGTCCCCTTCTGGCATCAGCATACCCGTTGTTTTTTTTCATGGGAACCAAAAAACCCTAACCAGATCTTGGTTCAAGTTTTCATGGAGTTAAGTGGGGTGTATTACCCAGGTGAAACAATGAAGGTATCCTATACCCCAGGCCTGAGTGACTAGTTTGAGGTAGGCATGAGGAGTATGCTTACCTGAAAGAGAAGAAAGCAGAGCTAAGAGATGGAGAGAAATCAAGTCCAAAAGACTTGCTCTTGAGTCCCTGGATTCAATCATGCTTGACAGCCTATTCTATGGTGATATGAGCCAATACATTACCTTTTTTCTTTGGCCAGCTTAAGCTAAATTTCTGATTCTTACAGACTCCTAAATAATAACTTACCTTCATACTGCTTTTTTACTGTGTTTCCTATATCTGCAAATTTCCGGTCTTCAAATATTAAGAACTCATGACGTTTTGCCAGAGTTGTTAGCTCCTTCATCACATCCAGAGTAAAATCATTCAAAATATCTACGTGAGTCTTGAGCATGCAGATCCTAGGTCCTAAAGCATCTGCTAACTGCAATAGCTCCCTAACCTCTGAAACATCTGCAGACAGACAAAGATTGGTCTCCTTCTTTTCCATAAGCCTGAGAAGCTCTGATGCCACCGGGTGGACCCCAGGCAGCTCTGCACGAGCACCAAAGCTGAGTTCCTTGGGCGCTTTCTTCACAGAAGACAGAGGGCCATTCTGACTAGCCACCACAAAAACATTCTTCTGGATAAATGTCTTCACTCTCTCAACCATCTCCCCATCAATTTTTTTCTGTTGCTCAAGAATCTCCAGCATTTGGGACAATGTACACACTGAGTGGAGATGAATCCCGTGTGCCTGTAGCTTGTCCTTGCCTCCTTGCTCTCTGTCCAGCAGCACAATGGCATCAGTGACCTTCAGACCCTCTTTCTGAAGAACTTCAGCGGTTTCCAAAATGCTAGAACCACTGGTAACAACATCTTCAATGATTAAACAGGTTTCTCCTGGATTAATAGTCCCTTCTACAAGATGCTTAGTACCTAGAAAAGAAAAAATGTTGATTTCAATTAAAATTATACATTTCAGCAAAATGAAAATGTATCCTGCAGTATAAATTTGGGATGTACTTATGATGAAGTGGATGATCTAAATCTTTATTTTCTGGAAATCTACTCTGGAGCTACATTATTTCTGATGAATCTTTAATGTGCCATGATTACTATTTTCTTCTGTTTCTCTGTATCCCAAAACTGTCAAAGTTCCATATACAGAGTATTTATCATAAAACCAGAAAATTATTTTGCAGTGTTAATAAACACCACTTTAATGTTGATAACCAAAATTTCAAATATGGTGTTTCTTAAAGGAAAATCACCTAGATCAAGGAAAATTATGAAACGAAGAATAACTCAGCATCACCAATGAAATCATTCCTTTTTCCATCAACAAGTTCATTACTCAAGATCAGCCAAACAAGTGACTTTTTGAGGACATATATTCAGGAGGGAAAATATTCAGCAACCTTGCAGACCAATCACTACAACTTTGTGAATTAAATAATGTAATGTGACTAGATATACTTCCCTACTCCAACCTGCACTATACACTATTTTCTGAAAATTTACAAAATGTAAATAACAGGCTGTAGACTATAGACTCATCTTTCTTCAAGACTCATTTTTATATTTTCTATTATCAAATTTGTCTTATTTTGAAACAGAAACAGAATTGGTGGGCACTTTGCCTACTTTCTGAGCTTTGCCCTTTCCCATTAACTCCTTTGCTCCCCTCAAAATTACTGGCAAGTTTAACTGAATCAGCTTAGACCAGAAAACAGGAGTACAAGTACTAACATGCATATTTTAAAATGAATGATTTTACTCTAAGAAATATTTTTGAAGATATGTAATAAAGAAATAGAAATCAAAGTTTCTTTGTAGGCAAAGATTCATATAAACAGGATGCCATCAAGCAGCAAAAACATCTATTTTTTTAATGGAGAATTTCAAACAAAACTAGATGGAACACCCACAGTATAACAAACATCCTAAGCACAGCACCTCCCCACTTAATTCACGGTCAATTTTGTTTCAGCTGTATAGCCGTTCCCACCTTCCCCCAAATAAGGTTTAGAAACAAGTCCCTGGCATAAGATTTCATCATAAAATTTTTCTAACAATGCACCTATCAAAGGTAAGGACTCTTTTCAAAACAATGTAACAAAAACACTACCACACCAACATAAAACAAAAATTAAAAAAAACCCTATTCCTTGATACCATCAAATATGAGGTCAGTCCCAATATTATTAGATTGATTTGGTTTTAAAGCAAGCCCACATGTAAAAACACAATTTTAAACACCCACCTAATAACCTTCTGCCATGGACTCATGAAAAAAAACAACTCTTTAGAATTTCTCGTGGCATTTATACTACTTTATGAAAGTAATTTTATTCATGTACTTCTCTTCATACAGTTTAAATATAAATATATTGAGAAAGTATGTACTCTGAGAACATCTGCTGATGAGGGAAGGCCTGGTAAACATGTTGGGTTTCATAAATATGCTGCAAAAAGAGCACTCTTTTTTTCATTGTTTAGTCAGTACAAAGCATTTCACCCCCTAGACTCTAAGAATGGAAAGTGATTTATAGCAACAGTTAAAAATCCCACAGGCCATAATAACATCAAGCACCAGTGAAGAATGTTCAAGGAGAATTTTGTTTATCAATGCCCAGGAGAAAAAAATTCAAACAGTTTCAGGTTACATATCAACTTAATACTTATACAACATTTAATTTACCATAATCCTTTTTTTCTTTTCTTCTAATAAGCATTGGAATTTGGTTGGTTGAACAGATAACTGTAGCAAATGGTAAAGCTGTGTAAGGTACTCCACACACACTGTCAAAATTGATTCCCACATTTTGGGCAGTATGAAATAAAATTTCGGCAACCTGTAAGAAAATGAACACATACAATATTTATTATTATTATTAAGTGGTGGATATATCACCCACTTAGGAGTAGTCTCAAACCTGATCAGAAAAATATATATGCCTTTTTGTTAAATTACCCTGTCTATAAGTCCCCGTTTACAAATATAAAAACACAAGAATGAACCTATGTGACTAGACTAAGGGTCTGCTCTGAGGGCAACATAAATGTATTAGTGAAGGCTATGATGTTGAGTCCAAAGACTAAGGATGGCCCCCCTACTTCCCCATTTCCTTAGGAATCCATTATGCTTTGAGTATCTAAACCTTGCTATGTCACCTGCTGGTTGTATTTTCTGAGTTTTCAATTTAAAAGTTTCATGAAAGAAATGATGAAAACAACCCCATTTGCAATTGCATCAAAAAAAGAATAAACAGCCTTGGAAATTTAACCAAAAAAATGAAAGTCCTATAAACTTAAAACTATAAGACATTGATAAAATAAACAGAGGAAGATACAAATAAATAGCTATAGCATGACAGTGGATTGGAAAAATTAATATTACTAAATGTCCATACTATCCAAAGCACTTTACAGATTCAATGCAATCCCTATCAAAATTCCAATGGCATGTTTTCATGGAAATAGATCAATCCTAAAATTTGTATGTCACTAAAGACCCCACATACCCCAAGCTTTCTTAAGAAAGAGAAACAAAGCTGGAGGAATCACACTTTCTGATTTCAAACTATATTCAAACTAAATTTCAAATACTAATCAAAACAGTATGGAAATGGCATGAAAAAACATACGTTGACCAATGGAATAGAATACAGAGCCCAGAAATAAACCTACACATATATGGTCAATTAATTTATGACAGAGGAGCCAAGAATATACAATAGGGTAAGGACAGCTTCTTCAATAAATGATATCGGGAAAACTAGTCAGCTACACGCAAAACAGTCAAACAAGACCACTATCTTATGACATACAAAAATTAACTCAAAATAGATTAGACTTGAATGTAAGACCTGAAACAAAAACTCCTAGAAGTAGGCTCCTTGACATAGGTCTTGGTAACTAACAAGTGACAGAGGTCTTTTGGATTTGATACAAAAGTCAAGGCAACAAAAGCAAAAATAAACAAATGGAACTACATCAAACTAAAAAGCTTCTACATAGGAAGTCATCAAAAAAAAAAAAGTCAACCTACTAAAAATCAACCTACTAAAAGACTATATTTGCACATCATATATCTGGTTAAGGGATTAATATCAAAATATATAAAGAACTCATACAACTTAATAGTAAAAAGACAATCCAATTAACAAATGGGCAGAGGATCTGAATAGATATTTTTCCAAATAAGACATACAAACAGCCAACAAGTACATGAAAAGATGCTCAAGATCACTCGTCTTCAGGGAAATGGAAGTCAAACCACAATGAGGTATCACTTCACACCAGTAAGGATGGCTATTATCAAAAAGACAAGAAATAACAAGTGCTGGAGAGGATATGGAGAAGAGGGAGCCCTCATCACTGTTGGTGGTAATGTAGACTGGTGCAGCCATCATGGAAAACAGTATGAAGGATCCTTAAAATATTAAAAACCATATGATCAAGTAATTCCACTTCTGGATATTTCTCTGAAAAAACAAAAACATTACCTCAAAAGGTGTATTCATACCCATGTTCATTGCAGCATTATTTACAAAATATGTAAATATAACTTACAAATTACATATACAATATATTCCAAGACATAAATAACCTATGTGCACACCATGATGGATAAAGAAAATATGTACATACACAGATACACACATACATATACATATACAATGGGATACTATTCAGCCATTAAAAAGAATATCTTGCTATTTGCAATAATGTATGGACCTTGAGGGCATTATGCTAATAATCAAGGTAAATCAGAGAATGAAGAGTACCATATAATCTCACTTATATACACTGAATCTTAAAAAAAGGGGTGGGGATCTGTGAAGATGGCAGAAAAGGTCACTGTGTTAACCTCTTCTCACATACACAGAGGCAGCAACTCACATAAGACAGCTCACTCTGAAAATGGCCTGAAGATGGGCAGAACAGATCTTTCAAAGCTAATGACAAAGAGAAGACCACATGGAGAAGGGTAAAAGGGGCAGAACCATGATAAGATCTAACCCCTCTCCCCGGCCAGAGTGAGGCACAGAGGAGTGAGGTGATAAAGCGCCGGCATGCAGCACACGTGGCCCTGCGACCTGCACCAGAAAGATGTGCTACCATAATGTCTGGTTTTGAAAATCATGAGGCTTAATTCAGGAGAGTTGGAGGCCTTTAGGGGGCAGTGTCTGCACTCTTAAAGGGCTAGTGTGCTGGGTCAGTTGGCCTGAGACCCAGCACAGAAACAGCAGTTTGAAAACATCTGGGTTATACAAGGAGACATTGATTAACTTTGCAACATGTGCCAGAGGAGCAGGGATTTCTAGGAACTTTCTCCAGGGGGAGGAGGGGCTGGTAGACATTTTTTATTGCTTCCCAAAGCCTAGCTGGCCAGATGCTTGCAGGAAACAGTTCTGATACTCAATCGCTACCATGCCAGCACTGCTTGCCATGCCTGGAGTACTCGAGGAATCACCTCCCAACATACTCACACTGGCAGGTGCCCCCCACACCCAGAATAACTACTGCCCCCTTACAAGCAGCGACCAGCCCAAGGCTGGATCAGCATGTCTCCAAAAGAAGCTAGCCCCACCCACCAGCATACCCATAGCATATGCAACCAGGCCTCTTAGGCAGACTTGCCTGGAATAATCTCTCCCCCAAAGTGTGTCCACACTATTCCTGCTGGCAGCCAGGCTGAGGATTGGCCCAACTCACCAGCACACCTACAGGAGCTGAAGCCTAGTTTTTCAAACAGCCACACCAGAAGTAAGCCTTGCAAAAAAGTACAGCAGTAGTTGCAATGGTTATATTGCTGACAGCTGGGCAGAAGGCTGGAATCCCTCACCAGCCCACTTGCAGAAGCTGTGGCTCAGCCATGACAGAGGGTGCACGCAGCCCACACAGGAGACACCCATGGAGAACCTGGCTCTGATGACCAGTAGTTAGAGGGTCGTAGTGCAGGAGATCAGCTCCTGGCAGGTTAATACTGGATTTGGCAAGACCAAAAAACAACAGTGAAGCATTAGAGGGTTCACACCAGACTTTATTCTCGCAGCAGCTGGTCAAGGACTGATAACACATCCGGACTTCCATGCAAAAGTACCTGGCAATCATCCTTCTATAACAGCACAGACAATACTGGGCACTGCCAGATTATATAAGCATGAGCCTGCACAGTAGGCCAAGTGATTATATAAGTTTAAGACAAGCATGCAGCTGCCCAGCAGGTAAAAGTACGAGACAGCATCCCGCGTGCACAGTAGGTACAAACATGAAACAGCCCAGGCAAGTATCCTGGCCATAGTGGCTCCATTTTCCCTACCCTTCACCCATCCAGGATTCTCACCTAACAATCTACGCAAGCCCAGTCTTCCACGATGGTCTCTTTGTAAGAAGGCTGGAACATTGCATCCAGATTCCACAACAGCAATAGAGTCTACAACAACATACTAGGACAGGGGAGCTACAGAAATTATGATGACAACAGCTGTCCTCCAGCCTGAGAAAATTGACTGCCACCACTTGGTCAAAGGGTCATATGACAGGGCTGTGATCTGCTGAGTTTTCTGTTAGAGGGCTTGTAAAGCTAGAGTTAGATTATGTTATGCATCGAATACATACACACATTCTGTATGCAGGACGGCACACATCCCATCTTGAGCTGCAGTGAGTATATCTAAAACTATGTGATTTTGTAGGACCACTGTCCTAAGCTGTCCTATTTCTCCATTGAGGAGGGTGATAGCTCTATGAGTAGCATTAAAGCACATGTTGTATGCAGCAGTAAAGCAGTGGCCTCTGCTTCTGTCACTACTGCCACCCACTGCAGGATGAATATGGCTGGAGGATAATATCACCATGCACTACACTTTGGTCTATGCCTGAACTTGAAACTTCCCCAATTTGAGGGAATCTATGGTAGGATGGGTAAGAACCTTCCAGGTATGTGTGGCTGCCCCTAGGTGCAATGACCCATCCAGTTGTATGGGAAATATGGCCATCCATACCGTCCACACACCCAAAGGGTACCTCAGGGAACAGGGAATGCCCCTTCTGTATGACTAGGTTTCTGTCTGCCCCATTTATCATCCCCAGTCACTACATGAATTTGGGGCACAAAGTTACTAAGGGACTAACCCAATGTGTACTGATGTCTCCACCAGGTTGCCGTTATGGCATTCTATATACTTGAGGGTCATTTCACTTAAGGCCATGGACACGGCAGTAGCCCACCCCATACCATCCACAATAGAATACCCTATGATTGGTCAGGGGGCAATAACCTGCTCCTGTACAGTCACTTTATGGCAGTTATTGTATCATCCCACACAGTGGTATTGGGTTGGTCATTCTAGCCATGTTCAAACCAGTCCCGCTCAAATGAGTTCACGACGCATTCCTGATGAGGGGTACTGGCCCCCTAGTTATTGTCCCAGGTTGCTGTAGGACTCAAAGTCCCTTTCAGAGCACATAGTGTACTCCTGCCAGGCTCTGCTGACTTCTTCAAAGGTTAGAGGTAGCCCCCACCAATGGACTATTGCTCACACTGTCTTTTGTCTTGCATGCAGCAAGCACTGATGTAACCATTGGGCCACATCAGAGATAGGCTTCCCTTTTAGCCAATGTCATATGACCCTTTGACCACGTGGTGGCAGTCAATTTCCTCAGGTTGGAGGACAGCTGTTGTCACCATAATTTCTGTAGCACATTTTGTCTAGCCCAATTTGTCTGCTTCATTACTTCCTGGGGATGCCAGAAGCATATGGCCTGTCACATGATATACTGTAACTGTTTTAGTCTGGCCGGAGGCCCATAAGTCTTGTCACAACTCTTGCCCCCAAAGGGGTTG